CTTATGCCAGGGCAAGTTTGGTACATGCATATTAACAACTATGGGTATTTGTGTGGACAACTGGCTATTGATGTGGACTATGTAATGTGTATGCTTGCGGACAACTTTCTATTTCAGCTCCACACTACCGTCACTGAATTGAACGATTTCATACAAGAACAACAACGAACCATCAATCGCCTCATCACCCCAAGCGTTCAGTGTCACTTGGCGCCTATCTATGCTTACTGTCAAAATGAAAGAGGTAACGGGTGTATTGGTCGAATGAAACAACACATGGCATGTTATGTTAACACAGAGAAAAATACCATGTATGATCAGGCGTCTCAGCAACTATTACAAAGACTACTTGAGTTACAGGTGTGCTACATTTGTATCATTAACCATATTTATGAACCACATTTCCCACCAAAATTCTTCTGAGAAATCTTGCATGCATTTTTCGATAATTTGTTCATAATTTTCTATCTGGATCAAAATTTTTGAAAGATATAGAAAAACTTAATTTGTGACAATAGTTGATTTAGTCATTTCAAGGTCAAAGGTCACACATATTGGTGCATATTTTAAAATTCCAAACTTAGAGAGGTATTTTCCTTTTTTAGAAACAAATAGTGATATTTGTGAAGACAGCATGTGATGTGATATGCTATGATCTGAGATTGCAATTTGAGCCATTCTGGGACTCGCCTGTCAATACTATGTATCTCAGGCAACAACTCCTGCCTGGTAAGTTGATTTATTTTCATAGCATGAATGTGTTGCTGCAGATCTTGATAATTTGTTTTGATTATTGTCGTAGACATAGTGCTTACACATAGTGCTTTATTCCCAGTGACAATTTCAGCAGGTTGAAACATACAGAACACTGTCGGCATGATTCAGTGTTTTTAAATAAAAATTACGCATCTGATACTAGGACTTAAAAAGGAATACTCATTAACTGTAAGTAGCAGGTATTACTGTTCAGAAGCGTGTTTTGAAATACTTTCCACGAGCCAATTGATTCAAATTTGCATGAGAAAGACTACGACTATCCTACATGTTTTATGGCACGAAATTTTAATGAGATGCAAATGAGCATGGGGATTTTCCCTCATTGAAAAAATGTCTACATACATAAAAACTAAACACAGAAAAAACAATTTATTTTTACTATAATGCACTAGGCAATGCATAATTATACCAGGAATTGATTTTTGTTACGTAAATGATCAAATGACAGGTGCGTAAATACATATACTTTCTGTTGGGTCTGTATATTGACCAGTTCAATTCATAGGATATTTTTATCCACCTCTTCCTAGGCATAGTGCAATGTCAGAACCTCATGAAGACCATTTACACTGAAGCCAATATAGTACCAGCACAGGAAGACTTATTGGAGAACAAACCTCAACTTGTTACCAGTCAGCAAGCACCCATCAATAGCAACACCCCATCCACCTCAAGTGTATTACCTCTGTCTTCACATTCAACGACATGGAATGAACCATCCAACTCACAAACTGTATTAGGTAGACATCAGCTCATGTATGCAACCCAGCCAACATACACAGCTAGTAGCAATCAGATGATTTTATCTCAGCTGTTGTATCCAACCAGTGAAGCCAGTAGCAGCCAGCAGACGTATAACATTGATCAACATGCTCTGCCTCATTGTGTCAATCTTGGTAAGAGTCTCATCACACACAAACCATTCATGTAATTTAGAATATTATTACTGAGTGTTTCATTGATTATGATCAAAGTGTAATCTTGCTGATTCAGAAACATTTGTTCAATCATTTCAGACAAAGGGCCTAAATGTTTTCAGGTAAATTTACTATTTACACTGAAAATGTAGCAAATAATTAGAAATGTCCCATGTCATTGGCATCCAGTTTCAAGGCTAACCTCTTTTTAAAAAACAACATTGGATTGAAATTATGAAGGAAATATTTTGAAGGACAACAATGCATTCATGTGAGCCATCTGGGTTATCACTGCTATGAGCAATGGCATTTCTTGTAAGATACAAAACTTGCCTGTTTTTAGTGCCAACTTATTTAGATTTGGCTAGAGACAATTTGGAAGCTTTATCTGCTTACTGCTGATGAACTTAATGTTTTATAATTGTATACAGGTGCCATGCCATCAGCACATAACAGTAGTATGATTGGTAATCTTGAGTAACGAGTAGCATTAGAGTGAAACAGGAGTGCCTTAGAGAGAGTGGTGCATACAGCACTACCACTAAGGTGTGTGTGAAAACGGAACCAGGAAGCTTTACTGATCAAACAACACAGAAACGTAAATCAGGTGAGTTGCATTTGTAAAGATGACTTCAAATTTTGCATCGAGGATATTGTATAGGTTTTACAGGAAGTAAAATTCACTATGATTATTTTCAGAAAAAAATTGTTTTAAATCATATGTAACTGTTTTATAAAAGCTCAATCTTATGTTAAATGCAACCAGTCGCATGACTGCTAACTAAATAATCTTTTGAAGATCCAAATGTGTTCTGTGAAGAAATTATAAGATATTGCAATTTTATTTCTTGAAAAATGTTGAATAAAACATGAATAAAATATGCACAGCAATTTTGGATAATTTTTTGTTAGATTTGTTCATTTCGTGACTATATTTTCAATTCTCTAGTTTGGGCGAATATTATTGTCATTTTTGGTAAAAAATGCTATTTTCAACTTCTGTTTGAAAACTACCAGGTCAATTGCTTTGATACTATGTATGTAGGTACCTTGGGTGGATCTCTGTCAGATTTGTTCATTTTGTGATGGTATCATTTATTTGTAATTTTTGGTAAAAATGATATTTTCGAATTCTTCTTGTTTGAAGTTAAATTGACTACTTCTTAACAACCAAACTCCTTTTTTGTGGGTGTGACTTGGCTACTGCAATGTGCTTGTAAGACAGCAGAGCTATTTTAATTGCAAGGTCATTTGTTGTTTTTTTCTTTAAAATGTCTGTTTTCACATTTTTTGAATGCATAAATTTAACAAAAATCACTGATTAGGTATTGATGGAGTTCTACTGCTGTATTGTTGTGACCTTTGACCTAGTTATGTAACTATGTTTACATGCTCGGTATTCCCTTGTCACCAAAGTTGCTTCCTTCAGATACTAATAATGATTCCTTAAATAACATTACAGTGTTGTTCATAAATCCCACATCTACACTCTGAAAAATTATACACTATAGCGACGGAGATATCATTGCTGTCCAAGGTAGGATTAGTCAGGAAAAGAAAAACAGCTGATGGTTTGATTATTTATTTGTATTTGCTATTTTTTTTTGCTTTTAATAGAACTGGAAATAATTGATTTGACTTTAGACAGCGATTTTGAACCAACTCCTAAAAAAAAGAAACAACACCATAGTTGTACTGGTTCAACATTAGGCAGTGATTACAGCATTGAACCAACTCCTAAGAAGAAGAAGAAGAAGAAAAAGAAGAAGAAAAGCTGTACTGGTTCAACTGTGGAGAATGATTGTGACTTTAAACCAACTACCCCAGAAAAAAAGAAGAAAAAGAAAAAGAAGAAAAGTTGTACTGGTTCGACCTTTGGCAGTGATTGTGACTTTGAACCAGCTCCTTCAGAAAAGAAGAAGAGCTGTAATTTTTCAACCTTAGAAAGTGACTGCAGCTTTGAACTAACTCCTAAAAAGAAGAAAAAGAAGAAACACAAGCACCTTAAAAAAGGGTCT